TAAGGAGAGCTGATATGACATTTGTAAGATTCGGTGACACACCTCTCGCTTCTAAGGAGCTTACGATGTGCTTGTGCCCAACATTGTCAAAAGCACCGACAACGTCGAGGAAAACTATCGCACAGTCATTTTTCATTTTGTGAGCATCTTTTAATACCGCGTCGATAATCCTCGCGTTGACGTGCGTTCCCGGGAGGCCTTTTATAAAGCCTCTCTGACTCTTGTAGAAGGTGACCTGCTTTCTTAATTCGTAGTACAGAACCTTCTCTATGATTCGGCGCACAATCGAATATATGGTGATCGGTCTCCAGGTAGAGATATTGTTTATATCACCTTTGCCCTTATATATTAATATTGTGCGCCCTTGTTGAAGTGGTTCCGGAACATAGGCCACCTTCAGCATTATCTCTGCAATCGTTTTAATAATGTTTGATACGTCAAAATATTTTATTGTGCGGATCAGAACTCCATCAGGCCCCGGCGATGTGTCCATTGATGTTGACTTAATGGCTTTCCTGATAGCTTCTATTTCAATGGACAGCTTAAAATAAATTTTCTATTCTATTTTATATATTTCCTCGCGTGGGCTCATTACCACATATGGGGAGCGTCCCACGGGTGGCGGATGTGGAGATGTTCGGTGGAAATTCCCTGGAAGTTTCTCCCAGCTAAGCCCGATGGACTCGCTGACCAACAATGAGAAGGACTCTCCAGACTTGCTGGAGGGAGGGGACCTCCAGACTTGTTGGAGGCAGGGGCCCACCAGACTTGCTGGAGGATGTGATGTAGGATTGAGCATCCTACTCACGTATCTTTAGTTCACCATACACCACAAATAGTCATGGATCTCCCTAAGGTAAAACGCTCATTATTCGGAGGTAAACTAGTCCCCCGTTTGGGTCTCCGGGTGTGGACTGCTTTAGGGGATTCATGGCTCAAATTGAAAAATTGGGATTTAAATATTGGTACGTGGAACGTAAGCAGTTTAAACACAGCAAGGGAATTAAAATCGGTCGCGAATGAGGTTAATGGGTACAATTTGGATGTCGTGGCTCTGCAAGAGGTTCGCTGGCCAGGGGAGGGCTCGATGGGGGAAGGAAAGTACACTATTTGGTACGGAGGAAGCGGGAATTATTGTTTAGGTACCGGGTTTCTAATTAGGAATAGATTGCTATCTGCTTTGAGGGACATACAATTTTTTAGTGATAGAATTTAGGTAGCTATATTTCAGGACGTCGGTTTAAAATTGCATTAATAAACATACATTGTCCGATCGAAGACAGTGACGATGAAGTCAAAAGTGAATTTTACGACAAACTCGAATGGGTTTATGATAAACTACCATGAAAATAATTGTAGGTGACCCGAACGCAAAGATGGGAAGGGAAGAAGTTTATGTTCCGACGATTAATAAAGAAAGTTTGCACGAATATAGTAATGATAATGGGATCCGTCTGATAAACCTTGCCATCTCGAAAAACCTGATAATTAAAAGTACTACGTTTAAACAAAAGGATATTCATAAATATACTTGGAAATTACCGGATTCGCAAACACCAAATCAAATCGATCATGACTTGATACAACATAGCTGGCAAAGCAGTATAATTAATGTACGGTCTTTCGAGGAGCAGAATGTGGGTCGGATCATGAATTAGTAATCTTGAAACTTCGACAAAAACTTAATATAAAAAAGAGAAAAGAAAACCATTTCTATTTTGAGAATTTTAATTTAGAAAAATTAAAAAATCCATCAATAAGAACCCAATTCGAGCTAGATGTCAAGAATAGGTTTGAAGCTTTAGAGCTTTCTGATGAGGACGGCGATGATGTTGACAAGTTATGGGTAGAGATCAGGGATAATATTAAAGCGGTCAGGTGGGGACTGCTTTAGGGGATTCATGGCGCAAGTTGAAAAATAGGGATTTAAATATTGGTATGTGGAACGTAAGGCGTTTAAACACAGCAGGGGGATTAAAATCGGTCGCGAATGAGGTTAATGGGTACAATTTGGATGTCGTGGCTCTGCAAGAGGTTCGCTGGCCAGGGGAGGGCTCGATGGGGGAAGGAAAGTACACTATTTGGTACGGAGGAAGTGGGAATCATTGTTTAGGTACCGGGTTTCTAATTAGGAATAGATTGCTATCCGCTTTGAGGGACGTACAATTCTTGGTGATAGAATTTCAGTAGATCTTTTTCAGGGATGTTGGTTTAAAATTGCAGTAATAAACATATATTGTCCGACCCAAGACAGTGACGATGAAGTCAAATGCGAATTTTACGATAAACTCGAATGGATTAATGATAAACTACTGCGAAACTCCATGAAAATAGTTGTAGGTGACACGAACGCAAAGGTGGAGAGGGAAGAAGTTGGTGTTCCGATGATTGGTAAAGAAAGTTTGCACAAATATAGTAATGATAGGTCAGTAACTCGTGTCTAGGAAAAAGGGAAAATAAGAATAACGAACCGTGGTTTGATGAACATTGCTTAAACATGTGCGAAAAAAGAAAAGCCACTAAATTAAAAGCTCTAAATAATCCTAACGAAGGCAATCTGGAATACTTCCGAACCTCAAAGATTGAAATGACAAAATTGCTCAAAAATAAAAAAAAGGAGTATCTTAAAAATAAAATAATTGAAATAGAAACTAATAGAATCGAAAATAACGTAAGAGACATGTACAAAGGTATGAACAGATCACATAAATGTTTAGGACCCGTCACGTCTGGAATTAGGGATGAAAGTAACAATATTCTGTCCGATCCGGTTGACATATTGAATAAGTTTAAGAATTACTTTGACAATAATTTAAATACGAGAAATTATGATCTGTGTCCTTCTGAGTACCAGAGTTCTCTGGTACTTCATTCCCCGTTCTTCTATTAACGGTTTAGTTCTAAACCGTTAATAGAAGAACCGAGTAAAGAAAAAATTGAAGTAGCTATCGGAAAATTAAAATCTTAAAGCAGTGGGAACCGATAATATTCCTTGTGAACTAATTAAGGAGTGCGGGGAAGCTGGAGTTTCTAAAATACATTGGTTGGTTAAAAAGATCTGGGAGAATGAGAAATTACCTGAACAGGGCCCGAGGACAGATTGTAATAACTATCGAGGAATTTCACTCCTTCTGGTATATTATAAAATATTCACTTTAATATGACCTAGTGGAATCAGGGATTTCGCCGAGGAAATTATCGGAGACTACCAATGCGGATTTCGACGGAATCGTTCGACTATTGATCAAATATTTTCTTTACGGCAAATATTAGAGAAAAAATTAGAGTACAACGGTATTGTTCACCAGCTGTATATCGATTTCAAAAAGGCTTACGATTCTATTGATCGCCAGAAACTGTATAATATTCTAATCGAGCAGGGGATTCCTAAAAAACTAGTAAATCTAGTCAGGATATGCTTGACGGAAACACTCAATAAAGTTAGAATCGGTAATAATCTGTCCGAAAAGTTTGAGGTTCGTTCGAGTTTGAAACAGGGGATTCCCTTTCTCCTATCCTGTTCAATTTGGCATTAGAACATAGCATTAGGGAGATAATGCGTACCGAAAAATGGTTGGATCTGGGTGGGACAACACCCGTGCTGGGCTATGCGGATGATCTGGAACTGTTAAGGGAAGACGTGGGAACTATAAAACTAAATACAACAACGTTAATGAATGCCGGTAAAGAACTAGGGCTCGAAATAAACACGGATAAGACAAAATATATGGTTAGCTGCAAAAATGGTGATATCGATATAGATGGTAATATATTTGAACAGGTAGAGAAGTTTAGGTATCTAGGGTCTACGATAACTAGAAAAAACAAAATTGAAGAAGAGATTAAGGTTAGACTGAAGGCAGGAAATGCTTGTTATTTTTCTGTGATAAAACTACTTAGCTCGCGCCTCTTGTCCCACAACTTAAAAATTAGAATCTATAAAACCATTGTCTTACCTACAGTTCTATATGGTTGCAAAACGTGGCCGCTTACATTTAGAGATGAGCAACGACTTAAGGTTTTTGAAAATAAAGTATTGCGTAGAATATTCAGACCGAAGAAGGATGAATTAACTGGAGGATTCAGACGGTTATACAACGCCGAATTAAGTGAACTATATGTGAGTAATATAATTGAGGTGATTTCATCCGGACGTATCAGATGGGCATGTACAATTGTTGGGCTTAGTAATGACAGAATTCATGAAGATTGCATTAAAGCTGATCTGAAGGGACTAGGTTTGGAAGGCGAACGGTGGAGGGAGGTGTGTAATGAGCGATTGGTGGTGTCGGCATCGAATTATTATTATTTTTATTTTTCCTTTTATTATTATTATTATTCTATATATTTACTGATAATAAAACTTCTTTTCAATGGATTTCAAGGTAGATATTTTGCATAAAGCATAGAATTTTTCCAAAAGATCCACTTCAACATTTGACCAACTTAAACATTTTTTTATGTGTCTGGTCAACAATTATTTTTTAACATAAATATATTTCTTTTAATATTTTTTTTTTTTAAACGACCATAATTTTTTGTCTGGTAATTAATTGTTTTAAATGAATATGTTATACGGTCAATAATTTTTATATTAATTCCCTATGCATAAAAAAATTTGTACTTAAGGTAGAGTGGTAAGTGAAATTTGTGTGATATGCACACTGCACCAGATTTTTTTTCCTGTTTTGCTATATCCCATTCTCATACACACCTACAAACATTCCCCCACAATACCATGCTTCGAAACGTGCCAAGCCTGTCACATTTAAACGTGCCAAGCCTGTCACATTTAGTGTCTATGTTTTACCTGAATACCTAACAGATCTGAGCAGTTAATACAATTTCACTCTATTGATATTCATAATAAATAAAATATCTAATTAACAAGTAACAGTAATAAATAAATTCTTTGATAATTATTCATGAAAACCAAATATATTATACCTATAATAAAAATGTACTAAAATACTAAACATATATTGATTCAAAGTATTAACCTGATAAATGTAATCAGAGTCTGTTTTCAAGGATGAAAAAGAATGTTGGTGTGGTAGCGATACTATATCATCTTCTAAACCATCATCAACTTGAGCTTTATACGAGAACATTATACTAGGCTGTGAAATTCTAGAAAAATAAAAACAAATAAAGGTTGGAATATTAGCTAATAAATAGTAAGATAATTAATAGCATATAGAAAAATAAGTAAAAGTATCATCAATTTTTAGATAACATCATAAGTTTAAAATAAACTATAATGATTGGGAGATATTATAATTGGGAGATATGGAAGATACACCCACCAAATTTATCATTATGAAAAAAAAAATTAATAAACCACGTTTTGGAAAAATCTAGAGTACAATGAAACATTTACATGTTCAAAAAATTAAATATAAAAATAAACAATATAGATTAAAACCTAGAAAAACTAGAATACTAACAATTAGTAAGTATTACGTATAACAACTAGGAGGAAAATAAAACATCAAAATAATTGTATTTAATTTACTACTACTAGGGAACAAACTTTCATCTAAAATAAAAAGCTACTATATGTATATATTTATTTAATTATATATGCTCCAAAATGCAACAAAATATGAGAACTGTGCAAAAATAGAAATCCAAAAATGAAGGAAATTAAAAAAAAAAAAGAACAAATATTTAAAATTCCATAATTTAGGAGATTAGATTTATATATGAAATAAAACTTCAAATATGTTCGCATGTGTATATTCAGTTGTTGAAAAATTAGTGTGAGTATAGAAAAAGTAATTGATAAAATATGAATATCTGAGATGGCCCACATATTTTTCTAAAAATTCTTTTAATTTATAGAATGGTATAGCAGCATTCAAAAAAACTATTGTGAATTAAAAGCTAACTTACTGCTTTCTAAAGACAATAAACAAGAAATTTCTAAAGCCCTGCTTCAAAATAATGTTCTATTCCCAACTTTCCTTGTGCAAGGAAAGTTACATACAATTACATAAAACATGTTGAAATAATTTGTGTTACACCCAAATCTTTGACTAGTCGCTACCTTTATTTCCACAGCTACCACAAAGTAAATCATCATCATCTCTGAGAAAAATTTAATTGGCCAATTTACTAATATATTTCGACACTATGATGTTTCTTTAATTTCTGGCAATTTGACAGGTTAAAAAAAAAATAGATTCACTAGGAATTTTTTAAAATAGAATGTGGTCAATTTTAAATTAAATTAAAAATTTGTTAAAAGGAAATGAATTTAAAAACCGATGGAAAATCTAATTAGAATTTCTGGTTCAGGCACTATGTATGAGCGCTTTCTAATCCCAAAATACTTGTTTAAAACACTTCTTCTTTAACTTTCTCTCAACTAAATATAAAACACTTTTCTTCTGTTTTTTTCTAAATGTTCATAGTTTTCTTTATATTTAGAGTTTGTTTGTTGCCTAAATATGGACAAGAAAACATAATATCCCGGGACTAAAAGAAACAACTAAGGAAGTAATTGGTAATGCTCGAACTACTTTGGGGCAGGGAGATGGACTACCGCTGATGCTGTTTAAATTAACATTGAAGAAGATAATAGGAACATCACATGAAAATCGAGGGGTGCATATTTGAAAGAATTATAAAATCCTCAGATATGCAAATGAAATAGCTGTACTTGGAAGCAGGGAAAATTAATCAACCAGTAAATGAAGACGAAACAAAATATATGACAGTAAGCAGGAAATCTCATTACTTGTATTTCCACCACATGCTTTTTTGATCGTTATTTTCAATTTATTTTATAGTTTTACAGACTACAGAATCATAAATATTTTTCAGTTTTTAAAATTATTCACTTTTAACTGAAAAAGTTCTAGAAACAAAAAGTAATGTATTTATGTTATGAAGACTATTTCTCTCCTTCCTCCCATGTTTACAGTATAAAAATAAGTAACATATTCAATTATTTTGTTAATACATTTTAAAACATGAAATGCAAATATAAAACATGTATATAAATTAGTTAATACATAATATAAACTACTCCCACATTTTTTTTTGGTCCATTGCTTCTCCAATCAAAATATAAAACGGAAAGTCTGTGCCAGCAGACTGAATACACCTTAGGGAATTTTATTTTTTGTCAATTTCTTTTCATTACCTATCACTTCCTTTTAGGGGAATGGAGTATCTCAATGGTTCCTGCATTGGACTGCTAAACTCAAGGTCTCGGGTTCGAATCCGGCTGATGACAGATAATTTTTCATTCAAATCACCTCGCTGCATAAACGTTGGTCTTGAAACAGTACTTCCTAACAAAGTACTGAAGCCAAACAAAACCCTTAATGGGTTGTAGTTTTAGAGATTTTTGTTTACCTTTGAGGTAGGGCATAATAGAATAATTATTTATTTATATAACTAATGAATAGAATAAATATTAAAGTCATAAATGAAATTAATAAAAAAACGGAGATTATTAAAATAAAAAATATAAATGGAACCGTGTTTGATCTAACAATATGTAATTTTAATTTTTACTTTCACTTAACTATATATGAAATATATAGTAAGGGTAAGTATTGCGATCGTGAAAATTTTCGAATCTGAGTTTTCAACAGAAATACATATTTTGAGGTCTCCTGAGTCCAAATAACCAAGTCCCGCAAAATGGTCGGTGTGTGTGTGTGTGTGTATGTCTGTGTGTTAGCAGTCTAGCTCAAAAACGAAAGGTCGTAAGAAAGTTAAATTGCATATTTAAGGTTTTTATATGCCTCAGATGTTACAGCAACTTTTTCCTTAAAATTTGCTAACCACAAGTGCAACTTTATATCAACGGTGAAACACATTTTTACAATTTTCTCAAAAATGGCTCTAATGATTTTGATTAAACTCAGTGTATCAATATGTATATTATATATTAATATACATATATATGTATATACATAAATATACATAAATTATATTAAAGATCACTTAATTATTAAGTGATCTTTAATATAATTTAGGTCTTATTCCCATTGATGTCACTTTACAGGGCTTAAATGCCTAATGTTCAAATACGTCTTCCTCTAAAGTACCTTTGATATGGATTATTTAAAAAAAAATGAACTCTCTTTTATTGACAGTGAATATAAAAAATGGCTAAATATTAAGTTTGAAAGAATATAATAATTGGAAACTGGAGAAACAAAGAAAAATGCTTATCCAGGTTAATTTTAGTGAATTTTAGAAAAAATAATATCAAATAAATAAAGTTGTACTAAGTAAAGGAGAATGACAAAACAATGTAAATAATAATTTCAGAAAACTAACTTATTTAACATAATCACTTGTTACAAATTAAATTAATAAAATTTTCCTACTAAATGTAAACTTTTAATTTTTTTCAAAGTTTGAAAAAAAAAAAAATTAAAATCCACCGAATCATGCCAATGCCATTGTATAAAATACTATTTAATTGTACTTGTGTGAAAGAAGAAGTGAAATATTAAAATATTTCATGGATATGTTTATAACCTTAAATACATTTGCTGTAGTTTCATAACTCTAGATATGATATTAGATTTAAATAATTAGATATCTATTGGCGGTTTATTCCAATGAAAATCTCGTAATTTGATTTTAGTAAACTTTACAATGGAAAATAACAGTTTAATAACTAATAGTCCTACAATCCATAATCATTCATAGGTTAAATATTCAGATGTACTTTAAAATCTCTCTAGGCATACATTAGCCTTTCAGATGACGGAATGACTAACTTCAATTTCAACATTCTTTATTATTAATTTTAGTGAAGTTTCTATTGGCAAAATTTATGCCTTTATTCACAGCTCTATATTTTAACACTGCGATCAACTTACTCACTGTCTGTATAGATATAACTTTTCCAACTAGAAATATCACTAAAATAACATTACTTAGAATGTTGAAATTGGAGTTAGTCATTCTGTCAGCTGAAAGACTCAGAGACTGAAGTTATGAGGATTATAAAACTATAGATAGGCAATCTTTTTTGCTTGTTTTCAATTAGGAATGATAATATAGAGAACAATAACCCTTTTTTATCTTTAATAATCAAAATGTGATTGGGTAAGAAAGTTTAGAGAAAAAAAAATTGAAAAACGAACCATTATTATTCTAAAAGAAATTAATTACATCATCGTTTAGTAGCGCGTATTTCCTCCTCTTGCCTTCACTACTTTTTGAAGACGCTTCGGCATACTTTCCACCAGTCGGGAAATGTCCCTTTGCTGGAGGATAGGCCATTCCTCCCGAAAAGCCTTTTCAAGGTCCTGCAGTGTATCAGGAAGTGTTGCACGCGCTCTTATTCTTCTTCCGAGGTTATCCTATAAATACTCAATGGGGTTCAAATCAGGAGAACGTGCTGGCCAGGGTAAAACCTCAATATTGTTCTGTTGAAGGAACGTCTGCACTATGCAGACGACATGTGGGCGTGCATTAGAATAGAACGATCGCCGATTTTGTTGAGGTTAGGCAACACATGAGGTTCCAAAATCTCATCTACATAGCGAATGGCTGTCAAAGACCCTCCACAACAACCAATTCTGTGCGGCGCTCCATTGAAATTCCAGCCCACACCATTAAGGAACCACGTAGGAAAGGTTGGCTCTGGGAAAAATTATAGGCTGCATATCTTTCGTTTCTTCTTCTCCACACCCTTTGATGCCCCGCTGGAGATCGAAGAGCGAATCTTGACTCATCTGTAAAAAGTACAGCACTCCATTCGTCCATAGTCCAATGGCTGTGTTCTCGAGCAAAAGCTAGCCGTGTTACTCTGTGAGTTCTGGTCAAGTCTGGTCCTCTTACTGGACGAAAAGCCATTAATCCATACTCATTTAATCTTCTCCGAGCGGTATGTTCAGAAATTTGCACACCTTGAACTTCTTCAAGCTGATGAATCGCTTGAACAATGGTAAGGTGCCGGTTTTGTAAAATTCTCAAAGTCAAAAACCGGTCATCCCGTGGTTCTGTTACCCTACGCCGTCCAGAACCGGGCCCTTCTATTGTAAGAACCAGTTTCCTGAAAACGCCTGACGGCATCTCGTAAAGTTTCATATGGAACTCCGATGGCATTAGCTGCATATCTAATGAAACGTCCATCATCAATAAGTGCCACACCACGCGCAACATCTTCAGCACTAAGAGGCATTTTTAAACTTAATATTGAAAAAATTAAAAGCCGGAGACTAAGAAATGTGCTGCAAGAAACATCACCGAACTAATGATACTGAATAAACATTTTGATTCCATAGAAAGTAAACATTGGAATCTAGAATCATTTCATTGAATTAAGGATTAAGGGTTATTGTCCTCTCTAACAAAAAGATAATCTATTGATTCATTAAAAACAATAGACCAATCCAACATGAACATGAAAAACATGAAAAAATCAAGTGGGTGGAATTTTTTGCCTGTCAGTGTATAAACCAGAAAATAATTTTTATTCAAAGTAGAGGGGTAAGTGAAAGTTGTGTGTTATGCACACCAGATTTTTTTATTCCTGACTAAATATAGATCATAAAAGAAAAAAATCATTAAAACTAAATAAATAATAATAATAAATCTAATTAATATAATAACTTTTACCCAAAAAATTCACTCAGAAATGTATGATAAACAAGAGGTGTAAAAAGAGTGAAATATACACATGTGGTAGCATCAACAATACAAAGGCCTTCTTGGATTGAATACATAAGAAGTCCACTTCCCACTGACTGAGAAATATTTAATACTACCAGGAACAGTATATAGATGTAAAAAGATCTTTTGGCTGAAAAATATGAAAATATTATGATAATCAAAGTAAACAGGACAATTAATTAATCTTAACAATAAAAATAATTGTAGATCATCTTAACAAATAATTTATGTGAGAAATAATTGCTAAACTTAAACAACACAATTAAATCGATAAAGATTTCATTTATGATATTATGTCAATGATTACATTTGTTATGGATCTATGAGAATGAGGTCAAAGAGAGGAAGAAAGAGGATGACTAAGACACACAGAAGAATAATGAATACATGAGGTATTCATAAACAGCAGAGGCTTATGTTAGTAGAAAGAAAAAACTTTTAATAGTATGGAGCACTCTGGTAGAGATTATATGAGAAAACTCGCAATGTTAGGCAGTAAAAAAGGAAATTATAATGATAAAAATCAATCATTAAATAGTTCAATGACATAAAGAAAGGTATAACTCTAATAAATGATCAGAGAGCAGAAGTGGGCATCAGTTGACTAGAGAAATAATTAAACAAGAAATTTTATTACATTTTTAACTATAATATTGGTATAATTAACTTCTCAGTTAAATTAATTTATTAGTAATAGTAATTAATAAGAACTGACAATACATTTGATCACTTGAAATTTTAATAATGCTTTTATTATAACTATATTGGTTATATTCTTCATTAGATAAAAAAAATAAAACAATAAAAAAAATTTTATTTATTTTTATAGCAACATCCCAGCCCATCAGGGCTAAGGAAAGACAAGATCATTAATTCTAATAATTTTAATGATTTATTTGTTATTTCATAACTTTCTTACTTTTATTCTGATGGGTTTACTTTATTATCATTACTTTACAACTTTCTATATAACTTTCATATTTTTTACAAACCACATAATTTCCATTCACTAATAATGTATTTTATTTTTCAATATTACTTATACTTGTCAAGACATGTTTACATATCCTTGTCTAATTATTTCCCAAACCATGACAAAGGCGCAGAAGGGAGCAGTGCAACGAGTGCATATGTTGGCATAAAAGAAAAATAATTTTTTTTTCTCCCATATTGCATCCCCAACCAAATTCCTAATTATATATTAAAAAAAAACTTTGTAAGTGAAATTAAGAAACATGAGTGAGACTAGATAAGCTAGCATTGTCTGTAATTATTTCTTTAAAATTGTGATGGGTGAGAGACAAAAACAGATTAGAATAATGAAAAGTTGATATCAACCCATGTTCACATGCAATAGTTGTAATTTCTTCAAGTGATTGAGTCAGGAGGAGAACTGGAGGCTAACCATATTTACATAAGAATGCTGATCAAAACATTATATAAAATTTAACAAGAATTAAAAAATATTTTATAATTTGAACTTTACAACATTACATAATTTTACAAAACTTATTAAAATATCGAGTTCAATAAAAATATTTCATGATTGTTAATTAAATGAACATAAAATCTGATGGGTTTCCTTTAATTAGTAAAATACTAAAGATTTAATAATTAAAGATAACTTCTTACACAACCAAAGATTATATATTTCCTCCTTTCAGTTGAATTTTGATTGATTGATAAAATAGAAAAAAAATGAAAACTTACAAAGAGTCTTATGAATGCAGAGCTACTATGACTGACATATACTATGACTGACTAGCTCAACGTTTCATAATAGGCAATCTACAGATGACTGGGGCCAGTTCATGAGATGTTAGGAAACTATTTTTGTAAATATCATAATAAATTTTATTAAAAATGAATCTCAAACTATAGTTTTTAATAGGAATCATTTTACACTTCATAATACAGCATCAGGGATGCCTATACATTAATCAAGTCCAAGCCACTGTACTATGGTCAATGTTTGGCCATTTTCACTTTGCCCATCATAGTACAAAATAAAATTTAATGATGTTTTATACACAAACAAATTACATCTGTATAAAATACACAAATACTTTTTCGTAAACAACATTGATACTTTTATTTAGTAAAATGTTTATTTTGGCAGGTCCATCTAGGCTAAAACTGACGATATCGATCTCATAGCAAGAACAAAGCCTACTTTGAGGGTGACATTTATAGTCCTAGAGTCCTCAGCCAGATACTAGCTTAATTATTAACGACCATAAAACTAAGTATATGGCTGTTAAAAATGACTGGAGGTACCCACATTTCCAAGTAGAAGACTTTGTCTTTGAAGCAGTGCAGAATTTGGTGTATCTTGAAGCCCTTATAAACCCCAACAATAATTTATTGATGGAAATTGAAAGAGTTTGGGCAGTAAACAAGAGCTACTACAGTCTTGTCTAATCAGAGAACCTTAAAAATCACCATTAATAAGAAAATGGTTGAGCCCGTCTTCACCTACGGATCAGGATTCTGGGTAATTAACAGGCTAAAGGAGATGCCAATTAGGGAGCTTTACTTGGAATTATCTGATAAACCACACCTGTGGTAGATTTTGTAAACATAAAAACAGACTTCACTGGGCCGGGCATTTAAAAAGAATAAGGCATGATTGAATGCCGATTTGAGTTGCTAACCACAAACTTTAGGATGGAAGAGTATTTATACACTGCACATTTGATATAGGTAATCAAACAAATATACATTTTATTGAATAAATATTAGTAAGTCATTAATGGTTTTCATTCTATAGGTATATTTTCAAAATTTACAAAAGAGAGGGCATTAGATTACAAAAACAAGCACCTACACTAAATAAAAATAATATAGGGGATGAGGGGAGTACAGTAGAGGCATACCTAAATATGGAAATCTTAGTTGTGGTACACATTAAAAAAAGGTTGGAAACCCCTGAGGTAGGGGTCATTGCCATTATAATGACAGGATGAGGTAGTTCTTGTTAAAACGTGGTTGAAAACCACTGGATTAACTTCCAAACAAAAATAAATATTCTTAAGAAATAATCCATTATTTCAACTACAGTTTGTTTTTTTAAATTCATTATTATGTTGTCATATTTATAACTCATTTTTAAACTTTAAGTAGATCTAATTTTCAACCATTTAAATACTTACAACATACTCAAATTTTCAAGCTATAATTTAATTAAATTAACAACCCTGAAAATGGTGATGATTAAGAAGTATTTTTAACTAATATAATAACATTAAGGTAAACAGAAAACTATTTAAATCAACCTGAATATAAAATAATTTGTTAATTGTGAATCTACAAACAAAATAAACACTGTTTTGTTTTAGTAATGATCAATATGGTATAAAAGCTTAGGTTATCTCTTAATAAATAATAACTGATTCAGATATAATTGAAAGACGGCCATGATAATAAGTAAAAAAAAATTACGATAACATTGTTGGGTAGGACGAAAAAAACAAAAATTAAATAGCTCCACTTCATAAAGTCGACAGATAGTTATTATTAAAAGTGTGACTATGGAGTATTTAAAATTTTCGAATAAGTAAGAAGGAAAAGAGTGTTAGTAACATTTATAAAAAAAGATAAGAAATACAAGCACCAGTTAAATTAGACAAGATTTGAAAACTTAGATGCATGATATGATGTGATATAAGTTTGTACCTAGTAACAAGATTTGGGATGTTGATCTTTTCTTTCCCCTTATGATCCTCTAAAGAGAAATCATCCAGTACATGGCTATTGAGACCATGATTTTTACATTTTATATCAATGTAAATACCAAAAATGAGTCCTTATTTCCAACTAAAAATGATAAAATAGAGATCCTAAAAATACCAAACATAATGTTTTTAACAACCTGACTTCAAATATTTCAAAAATATTCTTTTGTAAGGAATCAACTAATTTTTCATTATTCATATTATTAATAACTTACTTAATTTTATATAGTAATTATATAAGAGAGTTTAATTAAAACTTTTAATGATATAGGTGAATAATCCAAATGAAATTTGTTGGAATCTTCATTACTTAATTTATTGTTACTATTTTATCATAATGATTTTATAATTGGAAGAAACTGGTAATATAGTATTTTTATACCTGGTGCAACAAATAAAAAAAATTAATTCACACAACTTTTTTTAGCTTTCTTTAACTATTACTCATTACAATTATTATTAATATAATTAAAATTTCACATCAATAAATAGCAACCAAACAGATAATTTTCATAATTTCTTAATTATTAATATCATGATTTCCCTCACTGAAAAACAAATTTCCTATTGGGTATAATAACATATTAATATACATCAAAATATCATTAAAATGAAATAAGGAATAATATATATATTGTTTAAAATTGTCGGACAAAATGCCAATTAAACATTTTAACTAAAGTAGAAGATTTATATTATTTATGAAAACTACTATATATCTCAAAACATTCTTTAATTAAAATAAATGCCTTCTTTAATTAACATTGTCAATACTGTGTTGATTTAAGATGAAATTTTCACAAAAGAGCAGTATGATTTCAATATGACTAAAAACGTTAGATTTATTATTATTTTTTTTAATTCTATAACATTTAGAATCTAAGTACAATCACATGAATCACTAATTCAAAAATTGATTTTTGTTTATAAAAGGGAAATCGAATAATAAAAAAAAAAGAAACATATAAATATAAATAAAATACAGTATAATGTACTTAAAAACTATTTTCAATATTGGTGGTAGTATTGTTGACTGTGGGGGCACGGTCAAAGAAGAAAGTGCACACAAATAAAAAGCTTTATTTTCTTGTGTGCCAACATTTCAGCCTAAATATTAGATAAATACACAATAAAACAGTGAGGAAATGTTAATGATATACCAAATATGAATATGTAAATATTGAAAAATAAAATAAAATAATGATATGAATGAAAAATTATGATATAGTGAGATAAATTGTTTAATTAATACAGTAATGAATCAACAATTAATAATATAATAAGTAATATATTAATAAATTCATTAATATATAAATTTATCTAACTATATCATAATTTTTTATTTCATATCTCATTATTTAATTATTTACACATTCACAGTTGGTTTATAATTTAA